GGGGGGGGGGGGGGGGGGGGCTACCTCCTCGGCACGCGAGACACGGGAAGTAAATTCTGCCGATAAGTGGACGACGGTTACTTGCCAACTTGAAGCAGACTTAAAGCGGTTTGTTTAAACGTGGCCGACTCTGTAATTATACGAATCGTAAATTGGCCTCGTTATCCGCGTTACGATGCAGCACCGCTGATGCGGGAGGTAGAGACATCCTCCGGTGGTAGTACAGACAATGAGCAGGTATAAAGGACTCAATCCGAGAGGCCCACCGCGCTGCAGTAGCCGCAACATTTCACAAAGCGAGATTTGTGATGTTTTACGTCTTACTGTGCGAAATACACAGACGTCATCGTCGACTAGACTATTCTTTTCAAAAAAAATTCGAAGACAAAAATCACAGGATGACAATGCGCGTGTGTTTGTGCGCGACTTAATATTTTAGCGGTCTGAAGGTTCCAACGGTTTCCCTTTGAAGACATGTTTGCATGATACTCGCTTGACGAGGGTACCTAAAAATTGAGACTTCTGACGCCTGGAGAATCAAAAAGATCACCTCGAAGTATTTGTCAGACAAATCATGCTGACAAAGATGTGTCGCTAATTAACCGTTTGTGGACCGTGCGTCGGGATATTCCTGACAAAAAACGCCTAGAACGTGTTTCAAAAATATTCCGAATATTCTTGCAAATCTTGTATGATATACTGTTTTGGATAATAAAAGCAATTTTTATTCATAAAATAAAAAGTCGAGCATATCAGCAGACAAGGTAAAGTTGGCCTATAATTAAGGGTCGTCAGAAGGGTTGTGGAGACATCTCACGGAGATCTCTAAACTATTAACTACACACACACACTAACCAGAATATTACCAACCAGAATATATATTTTTATATGTGGGCGCTTCTTTTTTGCGTTATTTATTTATATACTTTATAAACATTGTCGTTGGAATAAACGTCACTCTCATCGCGTGGGACCTCCTGATTTCCGGTAATACGAAAAATGCCTCGTTCTTTATAAATCATTCGCATTATCAGTGCGAGGAGGGATTTGATGACGGGTAAAAAGTGTCGAGGCTCTCCCCTTAAATGAAAACGCGGTGTAGAATTTCAACTACTTCCTGTTGATAGATCGCGTCTTATTGTAGCTCCAACGAAACTGCGAACTATTTTGAAGAAGCTTTTGTGGATAGAGGTACCTGCAGATTTTATCCCCCAATGTCCTGTCTGGATTCAAGACAACCCGCGATCTCGCTAAGTCTAGTCACGTTCCGGCGTATTCTAATAAAAACCAGTTGGAACCACGGTTGATCCTTGAATTGGATCCGGCTACGAATGTTGCCGAGAATCATACTTTATTAATTTATCCAGAGCTCAAGTCGTGCCTTGATTTTGAATTCACTTGAATACGTAAAGTAGTTCGTAGTTGTTATCATCTAACCGATTGACTTATAATTTTAACCAGAGTTGAGTAATAATTGGTTAATCTGTTAAATGTTAAATACAAAAATTAATAATTTTTAACTTAACTATGTTAACTTTAAATGAATTAACTTTTAACTTAAACTAGTTATTTTAAAATACATTAAGTGTAATTTATTAACTTGTTCTATATCATTAAAAATAATTCAATATTACAGTCATTCCGGACTACTAGTAAATAGAATAAAAAAGCGCAAAAATTATACCAGTAGAATTTTGTTTCGATTTCTTAAAGTATCAGTGTTCTTTTCTTTTATAAAATTCTGAACACAAGACTATTGGACACAAGACTTATATTTTTTTTAGAAAGACTATCTTTTCATTATTTCACATAAATTTAATCTACGCTTAACAATAATCATGCAAAAGAACATACATGTGAATACATGCATTAACTTTTAATTTTAATAAATTAATTGAATTTTAATTTTACATTTAATGAAGTTAATTTTTGTTTATATAACTTTTAACTTAACTAAGTTATTTTTATAGACCATCAACTTTTAAATTTAATTTAATTTAAAAAATAACTTCTCTAATCCTGATCTTTCTTAATGTCAACCGTACATTTTTTATACAATAACTATACGAAATGAGATAGTCTATTATTAAATATATTTTATAACTTTTGCATCAGGTCGGTCAAGAAATTCGGATCGATATTTTAGTCGAATTTCACTATATATATGCACTCAATATGTTAAATTTGTAATTTGGTTTTTATTGTCCATTGCTATATACTTACATTTTAATCAAAGAGCCTTAATATAATCGTTTAATTGAACGAATGTTTTTGTTTCGATAGGAACGAAAGAAATTGGCGGTCAGGATATCCGGAACGAGTACTGCCCAATCGCCGGTTTCTATCACTTTAAGTACAGCGTCAACAACGGATCCACGACGTCGTTGGAATGCAACACGTTTTTCTCCGACTTCAATAACTGCCCGGATGGCTCGGTCTTACGTTTGAGCTTCAAACGATGTTCTTTTGAGCAACGCGGTAAGTCCTGCTCCTTCCATGCGCTTCTCCGTTCTTTATTAGTTTAACTTAGTTATTGTTGCTGGTCGATCGATTATCATTCCCCGGAGCGACGACGAAGTTGAGTCTCTCAGAATGTCGAGGTACATTGTTTCAATCTTGTTCTAGCAGATCTCACATTGAATTGTTTGGGCAGCTGGCCTGGACCAGGTGGCTCTAATTATCTTGCTCTTTGGGACAACAACTCTACCGAAGGCCAGCCTCGCTACAGATGCGGGGTATGTTGGAGTATATCCTACTTAAAAGAACAATGAAAAGAAATATGCCTCGCGAATTTGCACACACACACACACACACACACACACTCCATTAATAATCGTTTAGTAATATTCTGCGATGATTAAAATCGCCTTTTTCTCGATATTTAGCTGTATCACGTTGATAACAAAAAGGGGAAGACCTATATGGCGTTCAGCAGTGACTCCAGTTGCATGCAGAATTTAGATAATTCAACCAGTGGATATGAGACTCTGATTCTGAGCAAAAGCCCGAATCAGAAGAAGGTGCCAGGTTACGTGAAGACTCATGTCGCTACGTGAGTATCTTGTGCAAATCTCACGAATATAATTATTTTACTTTAGTTCGTAATAATTTAATAATTCGTAATAATTTAATAGTATTCGCTATGCAAAAGATTTGTTATTTTTTTATTAAGTTCTCGTAGAATGTTTTGATATTAAAAGGAAAAAAATGCAATGAAATCAAATTTGACTAAAAAATTGAACTGAATTTTAACTGACTATAGTTTACTTATGTAGTTTACTAACTGACTTGCTTACTTTAATTATTAATAATTGTAACAGAATCATAAATCGCGGGTAATGTTATTAGCGCTCGAAAATAATCGTGTTAACTATATCGTGACACATTTCTCATAAAATAACAGATTCCCGAAATGGGCGCAAGGGTTGTGGGAGGAATCACTCATAGTTAATGGAACTATGACTTTCACCGATCTCAATGGCTACAACAGTTACACTTTCATCACGGTGGAGTCGAACGAGGAGACCGGTCGTTATATTGTATACTCCAAAGATCAGTGGTAAGCGATTGATTCGATTATCATTTACATGAAATGTACTTTATCGCAAGGAATGTAATAAGTTGCCACTTCTTCTACAAGTTCCACGACATTTTCCATATTCTGTTGGCGCTTGTTATTATACTAATAGTGAAAGCTAAAAGTGAAATGAACATTTTCTTTCTAATTTCAGCGAGCAGGACGCTTATGTATGCTTAATGATGAGGCAACGTAGTGAAAATATACTGGAATTTACGATAGGTAATTATTTCCTAGATAGATCGGCTATTCCGCGTATAATTCCTCATCATTTCACATCTTTATCGTTGCTAGCCGTGACTCTTCTCTTACCTTAGTAATCTAAGTAACTTGACGTTATTTGACAGGGATGGTCTTGAGTCCAGTTTATCAAAACTATTTATGCGATGATCCGAATTTGGACAAACCTGTGTGGATGACTCAAGCACGTAAGTTGATATACACGCTATAACACCTTAATAAATTACTTGTTCAATAATGTTTACACATATAATAATAAACCGTATATTTACAAGGAGACATTATATATTCTGATTTGCTAATTTGTATAAAAATTTTTTTATGAATAGTCTTTGTCCAATGAAATTTTCTTACACTTCTCGGAAACATCAAATGGCTTTACAAGGAAACTTCATTCGATGAAGATTACTCATAAAAAGTTTTTATAAAAACTGGTGAAGTACGTGATGTCCCCTTGTTAGACACATGTAATTATTTACGCCTAACGTACAAATTGCTTTCAACAAGGGATTGAACGTGCAGTAGAGTCGCCCTGTCCGATTACGGGTCAGTACACGGGAAGAATAACGGACCTAATGGGAATGTGCGCTGAATTGAGCAGCAACTGTAATACCCGCGAAGTAATGTACTTTAGAGTCAGTGATTGCGATTCTGGAGAGCTGTATGAAGGTACGTTATGATTGTAAAAGAATTGAAAATAAATAACAGTACAAGTTAAGATGATACTAACATAATACAGTTTCGTAGTTTTTTCTTCTAATTAGATGCATCAAATTGAAAATGCTTTTACAGGACGAAAGTACAAACGTTAATAAATGGCTGATGCTAAATAGTTACAAGAAATCAACAAAATTTTTTATTTACCGACTGATGATAAAAATTTTTTGTTGATTTTATGCAACTATTTAGCATCAGCCATTCATTAAGGAGATGTTGAATTCGATGACGAACTCAAATAATGTCGATAACACAGAGACGACCATCACTAACACAATCACGCTATCCTTTTCGTATTTCTTCTATATATATAACTCATATAAATGTATGTTACTTTATTTTACTATATTATACTATATTTAATGGAAAACCTAACCACGCGTGTATAGAAATTTTTTTGCAAACTTTTCCGATATTCTTAAACTTCTGAATTTAGATGCGAAGATACAGTAATGTTCTTCAAAATTTTTCTATTTGGTTAAATTTTTTTTCGTTTTCATTATATATTGAGCAATGCTTCTATTTATTTTTGCACATACTTTTATTACATAAAAATATTTGTAATTTTGTACAATCAATATAAACTTTGCAAAAAAATTTCAGTATTCTGTCGGTAAAGTTTTCAGCTTCAGCATCTTCTTAACATTTGTATTTTCACCGTGTAAAAGCATTTTTAATTTGATGCATTCAATTAAAAAAAAAGAAAAAAATTACGAAATTGCGTTATATAAGTATCCAACATCAGCTTAAGAAAAGAGTTCTGACAGAAGTTTAATAGTATAATCGACAGAAATAATTATACTGCTTTTCATATTATTATAGTATTACTTAATTTGATTATTTCTAGATACACATTCTACATATTTGAGTTTTACGTTTTAATAGGAGCAAAATGTATTTTGGTCGACTTATAAATAAAATATTTTTTTATCCTAAAATAATTTTAGATTTTATAACGTTTGTACTTTACTTTTAGAACGAACATATCTATGCTTGGGACAATGGGAAGAGAAAGGTGTGATGTACACTTATACCATGCGAAACGACACTAATACGAACGAGTGCTTCGTGGGTCTGATTGTCAGCGACGAGGAGATATATATCAAGGAAGCTGGCGATCACTGTATGCGAAATATAGATCCCAAAACGCAAGGCATGCGTTTGTACAAGAAAGGTAAATATCCTTAGTGAAGTGTTAAGGCAGTGAGGAAGTTCACGATTTTTGAATCAAAGAAACAGTGAGAGAGAGAGGGGGATCTGCTTTTATTAAAAATATATCTTGAACAAAAATATTTTCTTATATCTTCTTCCGAATATTAAAGCGTCTTTTATAAGTGATGGTATTATTTCAGGACAATGTTACGGGAATTCTCCGAGTCCTGCACCAACGCCGATAAGACCAATACCTCACAATCCGATAATGAGAATTACGACGACTCCGACATCGAAAGTACCAGGTAACAGTCGAAAGGTTTTATCTTTCGTTATCCTATTTTTTCTAATATTTCAGATAAACATCTGGAAAAAAGATACACACAGATACATAGAAAAATATTGTTCTACTACTAAGAAAAGCGATTTTACGTTTTACTATTAAGAAAAGCTCAGTTTACTTTCTTTTTCTAAAATAATGGTTATATTTAACAAAGAATATTTTTTTAATAATAGTTTTGAAATATATTTATTTTAAATTTTAGAAAAACTCATTATCATGTTCACTCAAAGAATTTATTCCCTGTACAAAAATTATAAATCTTCGTCAAAGAAAAAGTTAATTCGACTTTATGTAGTAAATAAAACGATTTTTTATTTAATATTCTTGATTGAAATTATAAATTTATTAGGATTCAGAATGTATTTTGAATAAATTTTATATTTATGATAAACTTATGATAAATATGCGGATATGTAAATTTTTATGAAATACTTGAAATAAGTAATATTTATTTGAATGCAGTATATTTTTCTGTGTATATTTGTTGTCACGTTGTCATCTATTCATGATTATTAAGATCATTAGATAGATATAGATCATAGTACAATAACTACTTAGTTTAATATTAATTTAGTATAATTCATTTTATTTATTTAGTAATGATTGTTCTAATTGACTTGTTATTATTGTGTTATATATATATATATAATATATATATGATTTTTTATATATATATATATATATATATATATATATATATAATCAGTTTTATTTATTTATTTAGTTATTATTGTACTACAATTATATCAATACAATAAATATTAAGTTTAGCAGTAATTAACATAGTTATTAAATTTAACATTTTTATTAACAGGAAATACTAAAGTGCCAGGTAATGCAGTTTCGTCGTCGTTTTCCTGTAGATCGGATGTGTACACGAATTTGGTACTTCTTACTTTTGTGCTTTTCTTCACTTTGCCCCTCGCGTGCATCAAGAAAACTGCATATACATTGGAATAATAAACACCTTCTTTGGAATTTGATAGTAAGCTAGTTAATGAATATTGGTACTTGGATGTACACTAATATGTTTTCGTTGTCCTCGCCCAACAAATGATCGAAAAATAGGTAAGCAGATTTATTTATTACAAGCGTCCTAAAGTGTTACTGCAGAAAATGAAGAAAATTTATATATTCTGCATTTTTTATCTGGTACATCCGTTCCGCCCACGTCATGTTCCGTGAAAATCTGCTTTTCAAGAGGTCATCTTCTTTCTCGAAGAATTTGTCGAATTGGTGCACACTGATGCAATATGTTAGAATGAAAGAATATATATTTATCTCACACTAACTTATTGTATCAGTATAGCTAGCTCATGAAGTTCTTTGAAGAAGAACAGTTCTCATATAATTATAAAGTGGAAAGAAAGTTTCGTCGTTCCCTCGGTCGAGCAGCCAAATTTTTACGGCTAATCTGTGAAGGATTGCAGCTCCTTACTGACGATTTAACGCTAAGGAACTTCAATAAATGGAAACAGATTAGGTTTTCACCGTCATGTTTATGCACTGCCTTGTAAGATACAGACGCTCAGATCGAGACTGTGCATTGTTGCGAAAATCCAAAGAGTCTATCGTTCGCAATCCAACTTACGGCGAATCGTTGTTTACGCGCAGACGGTTAGTGATCTTTTCACTAATAAATCAACATCACAGAATAGAAATACGACATAAACGTATAAAAGGGACTGACGGTACTATTTTACAATTAATTCAATAATAGATTCACATTCAAGTTTATTTCCTGAAGATAAATTTGAAATTTTCATCACTGATGTTACATACAGAATGTTTATTGCGTAACAGTATCCATTATTTTTTACCAGTTACAGTAATCAAACAGAAAACAGTTCTAGATGCAATTAATCAATTTTGAGACGGCAATAAGATGCAATAATAAAAGTTTCAAAACGTTCTTTTTTCGTGAAAAGATTAAGATCACTTTTACTTTTTTAAATGGAACCATATCTTTCTTGGTATTTTGACATCAATCTTCTTGATATTTATCTTGAATTTTTTCAACAAAAACGTTTCTGAAATTTTTGTTCTTGCATTTTATTATTGTTTAAAAACTGATTAATTACACACAGAAAAAAATATTATTTATATATATTTATATATAATTATATAAAATTAAATATGATTATATATAAATTATGAATGAATTTTTTGTCAATATATAGTTACATGTATAATCATATATATCCAGACGGACAGAAATTATTGTATATGGAAAAGGGAATGAATAATTTCATTCAATTAAACGTCGATATCATTCGCTGTCAGAAACACAAGCATTTACTTCGATTGTATTTATGTAATAGCATTTTTTTCACAGTGGGTATATATGATTATATATGATTATTGATATATACATATATATGATTATGACTATGATTATATATGATCTAAAACATTTTACTGTTTGACCAATGTAACTTATAAAAATACTGTTAATGCGGATACTCTGTATAAAATTTGTTTAATTTTAATTAAACAACCTGTCAAATACCTACTATACTGTTTAAGGTCGACAGTGATATTTTTTTTATATAATAAAAAGTTAGGTCTCTTAATTTTTATATAATAAAAATAGTGTCTCTTAAACGTCCGTAAAGCAGCAAGTAAGCCATAATAGACAGAATATAGCCTGATATAAAAGAATACAATATAAATTGCACAGTTGCATAAGACTGATACAAAGTTATTTTAATACAATTCAACCTATTTCTTTCTCTCCATTAGAAATAGATTGCTCTAAGGGATTGTTTTTACGCAAGTATGTGAGAAAGAGTGTATCTTTGCGAAAAACACATATCAATCAGATTGAGTTCGTAAAGTAGTAAAAATATCAAAAGTTCTATGAAAGAACTGTGTATGTGTGTGTGTGTGTGTATGAGAGAAAGAGAGAAAGAAAAAGAAAAGAAATTAGTAATATGCGAGAAGTATCTCTTTTGCAATTTCAAATTTAAAAATGTATCTCTTCCTATTTATATACGTGTAAGAAGTACTTTCGTGAAATTAGATATTAAGACTCCTAATCAGTCAGCTGAGAACTTTGTGTTGGCGACATAATTGTAAACGGCAAAATGATGAACTATTAGGTTCACAAAGTGCAAATTATTGCAAGGAGTGAAAGAAAATATATTTGTCTCTCTCTAGCTTATTGCACCAATGCAAAGTTTATCGAAAACGAACCTAATTATGTAAACAGACGACCAATTTTTTTCCTGCGAACTACAATGTTATTATGGAATGTAGTGCGTGTACATATATGATACAATCGTGGAAATGCTTCGGATATTGTGCTTATTGTGATATTTAATGCGTATAAGTAATTATTCGGTCATATTCGGCACCGAGTGACAGCTGATTTTCTGTTAAAATGAGACGATTTGTCACATTTATTTTGCGGTTATATGATAAGTTATTTCGGCAAAAGAAGAGTATCCAGAGCATTTCAGAAGTATGTAGAACAGACTGCAAGTGTCATTTTAATGATATATCTTTTTACTTAGCTGTGGTTCGCAGGAATTTTAGGCATGGTTTTCCTCGCTTCTGTCAATTCAATATAGTCATCAATTCAATATGGTCGTGATAACTAATTAAGAGCCTTAATATATAAAAGAATTAATGACACTTAATGAGATAAAGACAAGAACTTCACTATCGAATAACTAGACAGATATAATGTTTCTTTGTACACTATAAACACGGATTAAATTTAGTATTACACAATAATGTAACATTTACCGCAAACGCGCGTGAGGTTGATACCAAATTTACATCTGTGTTATACGTGGTTCTAGTTTACTCTCGCATTTAATGTAATAATGCGACAAAACGGAGATAGGTGTATATACATGTGCAAACTCGTCGATTATTTATTAGTGTATAATATCGATAGTATAACAAATTTAACAAAATATACGTTTATTTCTTTCGTTTAACTTGTACAGAAAATTATAAAGTAATCTAGACTTATTGATACTAAAAATTTTGTTTCACGTCTTTATGTGCAGTCTGCGCTTATTTAGCCTGTATTTAACGTAAATAATAGCGAACAGAGTTCTTTACTTTGATATATCAATTGCGAATGTACAGTTGTATAAAAGAGACAATTATGCAATAATAAAATATGCGAGTCACAAAATTTAGATTGTCTAGGATAAGATTAAGAGATATGAATCAAGATAGATGTAAATTTTAGAAAATGTTAACTGACACACATATTAGAAGCCGCATCTAAAAATATTATGTTCTATCAGAGAAAGGTATAGTTCGCATATAATTCGCATAATGAAGAAATGAATCTTCACTTATACTTGCATTTACATTAAGGGAAAAAGTATTTAAAAATTAGTAAATGTCTATTTGGTGGATATTAACAGCATATTTATATTTATACTAATATAAAATATTAGTTGAAACTATCTGGCTTGGGTTACCACAAAATGAAGATAAAATCGAAAGAAGAGGATGGAATCTCCAGGTTTTTCAAGCAGCCTAGATCCGCAGAATCCTAGAGAGTAGCTATACAAAATTTAGTCCATATCAGTTGAAGAATTCAGGAGTTTATAGGAAACAGACAGATATATTCTATTTTACATATATATATATATATATATATATATATATATATATATATATATATATATATATATATATATAT